TCTATTCCATTGATCAGTGTGTCTGTTTTTATGCCAGTACCATACTGTTTGGTTATTACAGCTTTGTAGTATAGTTTAAAGTCTGGTAGTGTATGCCTCCAGCTTTATTTTATTTTCCTTTTTTTGCTCAGCATTGCTTTGGCTATGCGTGGTCTTTTGTATTCCATATAAATGTCTGGATAGTTCTTTTCATTTCTGAGAAAAATGTCACTGGAATTTTGATGGGGATGGCATTGAATTTGTATATCACTTTGGGTAGTATGGACTTTTTCAAAATCCAAACCCAAAGTTAGCAGATGGAAAGAAATCATTAAGATCAGTGCAGAACTAAATGAAATTGAAACCCAAAAAACAATATAAAAGATCAACAAATCAAAAAATTGGTTTTTTGAAAAGATAAATAAAATTGACAAACCATTAGCATGGCTAACTAAAAAAAAGAAGAGAAAAGATCCAAATAACACAAATAAGAAATGAAAAAGGTGATATTACAACTGATTCATCTGCAATACAAGCAATTATTTGAGACTACTATAAACAACTATATGCCAACAAATTTGAAAATCTGGAAGAAATGGAAAAATTTCTGGACACATAGGCTACCAAAACTGAGCCAAGAAGATGTAGAAAATCTGAACAGACCAATAACAATAAAGGAGATTGAAGCTGTTATCAGAAGGCTCCCAACAAAGAAAAGCACAGGACCAGATGGGTTCACAACAGAATTTTACCAAACATTGAAAGAAGAATTGACACCAATTCTTTACCAACTATTCCGGAAGATTGAAACAGAGGCAAATCTTCCAAACTCATTCTATGAAGCAAACATCATCCTGATACCAAAACCAGGTAAAGATACAACTAAAAAAGAAAACTACAGGCCGATATCCTTGATGAATATAGATGCAAATGTCCTCAATAAAATACTAGCAAACAGAATACAGCAACACATACATAAAATTATTCACCACGATCAAGTGGGATTCATCCCAGGGATGCAAGGTTGGTTCAACATATGCAAATCAATAAATGTGATACACCATATTAATAAAATCAAACAGAAGGACCATATGGTCATCTCTATAGATGCTGAAAAAGCATTTGATAAAATTCAACACTCATTCATGACAAAGACCCTCTATAAGTTAGGTATAGATGGAAAGTATCTCAACATAATTAAAGCCATATATGATAAACCCACTGCCAATATCATCCTGAATGGGGAAAGCTGAAGGGCTTTCCTTTAAGAACAGGAACTAGACAAGGATGCCCACACTCACCACTTCTATTCAACATAGTGTTGGAAGTAGTAGCCAGAGCAATCAGAGAAGAGAAGGAAATAAAGGGCATCCAGCTTGGAAAAGATTAAGTCAAACTGTCCTTATTTGCAGATGACATGATCCTATATATCAAACAGCCTAAAGCCTCTACAAAAAAACTCTTGGAGGTGATGAATGATTTCAGCACAGTAGCAGGATACAAAATCAACACACAAAAATCAGTAGTATGTCTATTCTCCAAGAGTGAACATGCAGAAAGAGAAATCAAGCAAGCTTGCCCATTTACAATAGCCACCAAAAAAATAAAACACTTAGGAATTCAGTTAACCAAGGATGTGAAAAATCTCTATAATGTGAACTACAAACCACTGCTGAGAGAAATTAGAGTGGACACAAGATGGAAAGATATCCCATGCTCTTGGATTGGAAGAATCAACACTGTTTCTCTAATCTTGAGGGCAGCATTTTTCCCTATGTCACCCTCTCTCATGAATTGAAGAAGAGGTTTTGATTTTTTAATTTCTTTAGCCTTTTATTTTTTGTTTAAAAAGAAAGATTACTTTCACTCTCCTTCAATAGCCTTTTATTTTTTGTTTAAAAAGAAAGATTACTTTCACTCTCCTTCAATGTGGGCCTGGAAATGTGGATGGTGCTTTTTAAATATCTTCTTGATCTCTACATTAATAATCAAATATTTGTTTATTGCAGCATTACAAATATTATAAATAATAGTAATATCATTCTTATACTGAATTTTTGAAGTTCATATACTGAACTCAGAAAACTCCCTGTCGGTCTTTATGATCTCTCTCCTTTTCTATCAGTCAACATTAGTTTCTCTTATAGCCCCAGAGGAAGAATAAGTTCTTGTATTCTATAGTACTGTTACATGACTGATAATTAACAATAATTTATTTTATATTTTCAAATAGCTGGAAGAGAGAAGTTTGAGTGTTCTTAACACAAAGAAATAATAAATGTTTCAGGTGATGGATATACTAATTACCCTGATTTGATCCTTACACATGGTATTTGAGTACTTGTATCAAAATATGATGGCGTATAACATAAATATGTACAACTATTACTTAATTAAAAGAATAAGAAATACACAGTTTTTTCAGATTCTTTACCTGCTCTTTTTCTTTTTTCAGTCTTTTAGGTTCTCTTAAATCCATTTTATTCACTAGGATTACTCCAAGCACCGCTGTAATTGGGCTACTTTCCAAAGTTTTCATCTTTAGATTTCTGTAAACTGTTTCATTGTAAAGCTATTGCCAGCTCAATATCCCGCATGTTGGATCACAGATATATCAAGTATGATGTGTCCAATCTGTGCCAATTTTGCCCATCATATTCTTTTTTCATTTCATAAATTTCACTTCACAAGTTGTCTTTTGGTAGAACCATTAGAGTTATCTATGTGAAAGACCATGAATTTTCTTTTTCTATTTGTTTGCCTTTCATTTCTTTCTCTTGCCCAATATCTCCTGTTAGAAATTGCTTCCCCAATTTTACTGCCTGTAAAGGTTTTAAATTTTTATTTCTTAATATGGTCCTGGCTTTGGTCTTTTCCCTGTTAACTGAGAAAAAAATACAGTAGAGAAAAATATCTTCAAATATGTTAAGCTTCTTTATGAATATAATATCGTATTAAAATCTGGAATGCATACCAACTCAAGCCACAAATGCATTCAGTGATAGAAGACTAAGAGAAAGCTTTTTTTTTTTTTTACAGTTGGTGGCTAAGGGGATCTTAACCCTTAACTTGGTGTTGTCAGCACCATGCTCTCCCAAATGAGGTAACCAGCCATCCCTGTATGGGGATCCAAATCCTTGGCCTTTGTGTTTTCAGCACCACAAACTCTCAAGTGACCCATGGGCCAGCCCCAAGAGAAAGATTTAATTGGCATAAAGGGAGAAATTCATATAAGAACTTGCTTAGAAACAGGGTTCATTGGCTTTGGAGGCTCAGAGTCAGATTTGTCATCAGTTCATTGTTTGAGCTGCCATTACCTGACAGGGTTTTTTTTGGAGGATATTAACTGTATTACTGCAATGGCAAACAATGTCTACTGATAGGATTTGTTGCAGAAATGTGTTCTGTATAAATCAGGGGACACATAAAAAACGGAAGGGATTTTTGATGGATTTTTAGAAGGACCTTTGAAACAATTCTTACCTCAGGCAAACAAGCACGAGCCTCCTTCCCTTGCGCCTTTCCTAGATCTATTTTGTCCCGATCTTACAGAAATTGATTTCATGAACTTTTACATTTCTCCCATTTGATCAAGATCTTTCTTTGAAAACATTACTGATAAATTAGTCCAGTTTCAAATTTTATGTGTTCCTTGATGCTGTGATGAACATGTTGTAGTCACTGGAACTGATCTAATATCAGGGAAGGTAATGAACAACTGCAAGTCAGTGTCAAGATGTTTTAATTACATTTGAGCAACAAGGAGGCCAGAGAAAGGTGCTTTGGTGCCTGGGTTGTAGGTATACGTTACTATCTCAGAGCACTGGGCAAACACCATTTTATCTGTAGTTGCATTTCTACAGAGCTTTAGCAGATAACAAGTACATAGTTTAAAAAGGAAGGAATAAAGGAAAGATGCCAACTTTGTGAACATTCTAGGTTGCATGATGGTTTTAAGATGTGAACCTACAAATGACAATGGAGAACTAGGTGAGGCTTATGGTAGCCATGTGGCTTGCTCTCTTATTTTATGCAATTCAGTCTCAATTTCTTCAGTTTATTCAGATACATCATGCAGTATTAGCAATAATAAAGACATCACCTTCCTTAGTTAATACATAATCAAGAATAATTCTATTATCTGAGACCACCTTGTCTAGAAATGTTAATATGCTGTTGTACAGCAATAGCCTTTGCAGTGGAGACCTCGAATATTGGTAGGGTAGCAGATAAGATTTCTTATCATTTATTTGTTGTGGCTACAACATACTCTGTTCAAGAGATCTGCCAAAGGAAGAAAATCCAGAATTCCATAATTAACCAGACAAATCATGCTTTACCCCTTGATGTAGTGGGAGGGGACTAGTGCATTAATTATCCTAATGATCTGTTTTAGATCTATTATGTATTGATAACAGAGAAGTTAAATATCCCAATCCACACTGGCCTCCTGTTGTCCAGCTGTCTAAACATCTGGAAGCCCAAATTAAGGCATTCCACCTATAGAAATGAATGTACTTGATACACGCACAGATGATTCTATCATCTGTGAATTATTGTGTGTAAAGGAATAATACCAGGCATAAGTAGCAAGTTATATTACTACATATTGCTAATGATTCCTCCTTTGGGGATTGGTTTTAATAACATTACATATATATGTGTATACATACACACACACACCTATATAGGTGGTCTGCTCTGAGGCATGGGGGAAACTGAGAGGTGTAGTTGATTTGCAAGTAGCAGCTGCTCAGTGGAGGTGAGGCTGGGGCAGGAGGGTGGATCTTATATGAACTCTCCTGCTCATCTGGCCCTTTCTCTACATTGAAGCTGGTGCAGACAAACCTGAAGGTTTGGAAGATGTAGCTACGTTTCCTGTGTGGGACATGAGACTTCCCAGCATCACTGAGGGGCTCTTACTTCACAGCCAGGAGGCAGCAACCATGCAGTGAGATGCACAGTTGGAGATGGAGAGGGGTGGAGATGGAGGGCAGAATGAGAAAGAGGTACTTACCCCTTACCACCAGCCCACAGGCAGCTATTGCAAGACAACAAGAAGGCCAAGGACCTTCTGCAGGCTACCATCCAGCACCACCAGCAACTGCAACAGTAGCAACACAGGTTGGCATAGAGCACCTGTCACACCCAACAAATGTAGTCTCCTGTCCTCTTCACCTTCTGTCTCTGTCTCTGTCCACTACCTCTTGTCTCTCCTCCACCCTTCCCCCATTGTTTCCCCCATTGCACCTTCCTATGCCACCACTTTGATCCAGTTCAAGGAAGAGCTGACAAGTGTGGTGTGCAGGATCCTGCTCAAGTCCTGAACACTCATGAAGAGGTTGATCCAAGAAAGGTGGAAAATCCTCACATTCGGTGGAAGGGAGCAAAGATAGCACCTGAATGTGGCTAGGGGACTTAGGGCAAGGAGGGCCCAGGGAATCCTAATTGGAGTGTCTGCAAGAGAGGGCACCCTTGCTGTGGACACAGCAAAGGCAAAGGCACAAAGGTACAGTGTTGGATGGGTGGAGTTTGGTATGAGCAAGTAGATCACGGTGACCCCCTAGCCCATATGTGACCTCTCAAACTCCCAAGTTCCTAGAAGTCCTTGAGGAAATTGACCCAGAGCTGCCCACTAGAATGACCCGGTGCCCTTCCAGGTCAAGAGGACACACACCACCATGGCTTTATCTGAGGACTGTAGGAAATGAAGACAATATTCTTGCAACACACTTCAGCTGAGCCTG